ATTTTTCCCTAGTAACTAGAAAGCAAATATCGTAATAAATTATTAGAAAAAATATATTCGCTTTTCGTGTTGGCGTGACTTGGTGTCTTCCTTGCACGTGATGAAGCAAGGGGGATCAACCCACGCTACATTCATCGCACGGATTAAAAAACAACCCACTTATTAGGGATAGGTTTGAATTTTTAGTCCGAAGGAGGCTGCGCATGGGGTATCATTCTATTATCCAACGTTGTCACAAATAAATGGATAATAATATATCATGCCGCAGAAATTTTCATCGTAAAATATTATAAAAGGGTTATAATATTATAGGTATATTATAAAAGGGTTATAATATTATAGGTATATTATAGGTATAAGGATTATAATATTATATTGTAAAGGGTTGGAGATGCTATTATGATAAATGCTTAAATACGCCGTATCAACTGGTTTTACCTTGATGTAGCGACTATACTCACATGATATTTATTCATTAAGGGCGTCCCAGTTAGAGTTGGCAACGAGGATCGAACTGCCGCACAGTAGATCGAGTTAATTAGAGAGGTCTGACAAGAAATTTCTGACAAAAACTGCAAAATTTCGATGTTTATCTCGCCACATTTTAAACTTTAAGGGGTATTTCTGAAAGTAAATTTCACGAGGAAACCAATGGAACCACTTTAAGACATCAAAGTTTTGTAAGAACGGAGTTGTTGTAAGCTTTCGAGGTTTTCAAATTTTGTCCGGCCTCTCTCGTTGACTCGATTCACCGTGCGCCGTTGCTGAGGAAATTAGCAAACCGAAAATGAGCCCAAAGGAACGTGTTTCTTGTCGGAGACAACCAGTGAGCGGCGATAAATCATAACTGTCCGCGCGTAGGACGTCGACAAGGCATGATTATGTCAATTTCGGTCTCGTGGTCTGTACTTGGTGCCGCGCGCTTATGGTTGAAACGGTAGGGAACAACCAGCGAAAAAAGGTCATTTCAGATTCAAATGCAGATAGCTCAAGATCAATGTCATCAACTCTGCCGTGCTATGGAAGAACGCCGTTTAAGCCATCAGATGTTACCAAATTTCCGTCGACAATTCAAGTATTTCCGGGGAAATTTGAGAGTGTTTCTTTCCTGATTTTTTAGAGGATTTTGTCCGTGATTTGATCTAAAAAGTCTGAAAATTTTAAGAAAAAATATTCATAACTTTCTTCTAAATTAAATACTTTTCCGAGGGGAAATTTGGCAATTTTCTAACGCTCATATGTTGTTTTTACTTAGCACGGCAGAACTAGACTCTCGCCGAGTGCCTCAACCGCGCGTCAAATAGCAATCCATGTCAATTTGAGTGAGCTCCTGCGTTCGTTCCGTTGTTGCCATACAGAGGTAGAATGCCTCCTCCTTAAGAGAAAAGGGGAAAAGAAGGAAAAGCTGGGGGAGAAAACTGAAAGAAAAGGACGTAGTAGCAAGACCAGCATGTAAAATAAGTATATTTTTGAGCGGCTCTTAGCTATATTGGCTATTTAAACCTTGGTGGTAAATTAACAAAATAACTAACTTTTCTAAAAAAAAAAAAAAAAAAAAAAAAAAAAAAAAAAAAAAGACGGTGACAGGCAGGGCCGGATTAAGGGGGTGGCCACATGGGCCGCGGCCTATGGCGGCAATTCTAAGATGGTGGCAAAAATTTGCCATTTTTTAAAGTGTAGGTATAAAAAAAAATTGGATTTATAAAAACAAAATTGCAAACGAGAAAAGGCGAAAAAAACCTCTCATTTCCTGAGAGTATAATTTCCTGAGTTTCTAACTTTGTCGTCTCTTAGTAATAAAAGACACAGCTTCTTCAATAAGTCGAGTTAAGAGAGAGACCAAACACGCAATTTGGCCTAGAACGGCGCGACTTAGAGAGAAATGATAACGAGGACTTGAGATGAAAAGGAGAAGCCCTCGGCGCGGCGATCGGCATGTAACACATATTAGCGCCTACAAGACTGCACGAATACTTCACGCATTGCATCAAACACAGTGCGGTCATTGCGGTCAGCGTGAAACGGATAGCGCCTACAAGACTGCGTGAATACTTCACGCATTGCGCCAAACACGGCGCGGTCTGCGCGGCGCGGCGGCGGAAGTTAAAATGATTGATCCCACATTTATGTTTGTTCTTCCATAATTTTTTCGTTCATTTCGTATAAATGGAAGGCCTTGTCCACACAGAGTTACGTTTACGGAACTTAACTTTCGCGCCAAGTTTCGTGAGCTATTGCTGGTAGTGTTGACAGGGCTTTCCCAAAAAATGTGTTCAACACGAGTAAATGGGTCTTATGCACCCTTCCCCCGCTGACACGTTCATTTAATGGTTTTTATCGAGTTTCAAAACGAATGAGAAGGGGGCGGCAAAATACAGGCGGCCCATGGGCGGCAAGTAGGTGAATCCGGCCATGGTAAAAGGTAACACACATTGAGGATTTAGAGAAGAGGAAGAATAGAAGTGATAGTAGAGTTCGTAGTTGTAAAGTAGTAGGAAGAGAAACGGATAAACAGTAAAAGAGAAAAAGTACCTAAATGCCTCTGTGAAAAACCAATTATTATAATACAGCCGTGCTAAGGAAGAACGCAGTTTGGACGTTCTAATGTCAACTTTCTCCCGGTATAAAATAATTATTTCTGAAAAAAGTTATGAATATTTCGCCCTGAAATTATGTTGATTCAGTTCCGAGAAAAACTATCTGGAATTTTCAAGGAAAAGTATCCACAAAACTCAAAAATTTATAATCCATTAAGGAGAATTTGATCCGAGAAAGTCCGAGCGTTCATTTGTCGTGCTTCTAGCCGCTAACATTTTTGTTTAACAATTTCTGACTGAACATTCAGTAGGGGCAGTTGTTGCAAAGAAGTAACGCAGCTTACTATTTTGCCTTCAATTCTCAAAGTAGGCCAGAAAACATCCACCGGTGCAGCAAGCAGCAGTGGTCAAGGTCTTATCTGTCCACAAATCTTGCCTGACACTACATGATATACATGTCTCCGCGTTCTATTATATTATTGATAATATATAAAAAAGACATAATATTACAATTATGTTCATTCACTTCTGTAAAGTTTAGTGTGGAAGCAATTTTTTTCGAACGTATAGATGCAGAGAGCACCGCACGAGCAGGCAACCTCCTGCATCAAATCTTATCACCAGTGGAGTGGCGTGCTTTGAGATACATCGATTGATCTGCCATTTGAACCTATGGTAAAGGATCGATAAACAGGGTGTTCGTAACAAACACCTTCACAGTCGATTCTTCACCACAGCCTCAAATGGGAGGTACATCGATAATCGATCATTCATTGGATATTATTGTTCGTCATTAATTTTAGAATGGGCAGTGAGAATGTCGCCGGGAAATAAATTTGAGTTGACTATTGAGGAGGCAGAAAAGTTTTCAATCGGTTTTCAAAAGAAAAGAAAAAATAGCTTTTTTGGCGTAAGTCGGATGCTCCCCTTGCACTAAAAATAATACATTCGGTGACTTACGTGGGTAATAAGCTAAGTTTCTCGCGTGTCAGCAGCAAAAAAGATGGTAAGGACTGATAAACCTCTAAAAATATCTCGTCTCATCCACTATTTTACTAATTAAAGGAGGTTCCCGGGTGGAAAAGAGTAGGACTGTGTTGTACTTTACCGTTGCTTCGTTGTTTATCTCTTAATGGGAGAATCATTTGAAGAGTAATTAGCGAGTCTCATGGTGGTCGATTAGACTCTTTCAATATTTGGATGAAGCGAAAACATGAAAATCTCAAAAGTAGCTGTTTATTCATCAGACTATGACTCACCATTAGTTTGACCCTACATAAAAGAAAAGTTAATATTTTCTGCGTTGCCAGTATTAGGTACATGCATTTGTAATTGAAAACAATTAAGTTTCAAGCTACAGAGCCAAAATTACCAGTGATGGAACGTCACGAAACAGTCAGAAAGAGTATGAAGGTCCCAAGTGACATTTGTCGACGGAAAAATGGCGATATTTTAAAATTAAGTCGCGATATTTTAAAATTAAGTCACGATTTTTCTTACGACTTTATGGCGATAAATTCGCTGGGATCATCAACATCTGAGCGATCATCCTATATATCTTTTCGCAATTTTATCTCTGTAAAATCGCGTTCGATAAAATCGAAATTCAATTTCAATTTATCACGATTTTTCGTTTGATAATATTGCGATAAAGCGCCGTCGATAAAATCGCTATTTTATTGCACATTTTTTTGATAAAATCGCAATTTTTTAGCCGGTGCTTTTGCAATAAATCGACGTCCATCAAATCGCGATACAAACTCCGATCAAATCGCAATTTATCTCGATCACTGCTACTTGGGGTAGGTTTTTCGACCCATATGGAAATGTAAAATGTGATACAACCCTATATTACTATGTAAGAATTCAATTAATTTTTAAAGGGAGGGGAGGCCATGGGTGGTAAAAATTCTATGATTTTTCTCCTTGGTGTGAACAATATCCTGCACAAATTTCTGGGAAGAAGTTGATACCTCTCATATTAAACATGAGATAGAAGAGGCTTCTGAAATAGCGAAACCGAGATGCGGCCTCTAGGAATTTCGCAGTCAATTTGTTTGCACTTATTTCCGTGTATTATTAAAATGATTATAGTGAAAAGTCGTTGTGATAGATAGGTATTGTACGGAGCTTTTTGCTTCATGAGCGATGGGAAAGGACACACGGTGCGGTGTTTCACGAGATCCTTTCGAACGCGCAACATCTCTGAAATTATTGAGTCATTAGATTCCGGATGTGACGAGGCCTTAGCCCGTTTGAGCATTAAACTGATGAAGCGGGCTGCGAGATAAGGCCTTTTTTATCAGATTAATGACACGGATGAGGGGACAGTGAGGTCCTTGGTCCTGGACGCGTGGATGGGCGGGACATGGTTGCCGTCGGACCTGGAAAAAGGACGACCGAAGCAGACGAGAAAGTGGACATTCAATGAGTAAAGCAGCACAGCGCGGCGTGCAAGTAAGTGAAGGTGCAGTGCAAGCGTTTGCTACGGCTGTAAGCGTGCGATCGAATCGCTGTGATGCGATGGTCTTCAGAGATTGCATGAAAGGGCTGTCCACAAAGCAGCCGTTTTTTCGAGCATTTAAAAAATTGATCAAAATGTGATCAAAATGGAACCTCGTGATGGGAAATGTCTTCATTATAATAATGGCAACTTTGCACGCAAAGTTTTTATTGCTTTGCCTGAAAGTGCTAATTTCGCAGTGATTTTCATAATATTAATCGGATATGGGAAACAGTGGAAAAATGCATTTAAAATTGAAAAAATGCACAGCCTAGTGACGTCGTCTGGCGGCATTGCCCATTTAAACACACATATATCTTGGCAGATTAGATCATTTTGTCATAGGTATATCTCCTCCAATTAGTGTGCGATTTATGAAGCAAGGCTATACTTGTGCCTAGTTAACTCTGTAGTTTCCGTTAGAACACGAAATTCATCAAATTGTAGACAACTGGTAATTCTATACATTCTTATTATTTGATGAAATATCATTAAATTTTGCATCTCTGGATGCGGTCTGGTGCAGTGGCGCGGATGAGCGACACTGCATTCGAGTTCGGATTTCGATGCAAATGTGTAGAATTTTGACCGGCATCAAGGATAGACGCCCCCAGAAGCCGGTTGTTAGGAACATTAAAGGTGGACATATTCCAGGTTTCGTCCCAACGCCAACAGAGGCCGTCGAGGACAGTGAACTTATACTTGAAAATTGTTTCAAAAAAATTCATCAATCTCAGTTTTCTTTCCATATCTACATGTTTAAAACTGATTCAATCATGTCTCAAGCAAGTGTTGAGAAAATTATAAGGCATAAACCTAGTGAAAAAAAAAAAAAAAAATCATTTATGAGTTTAAATCTGTGTTAAAAGTATGATATACGTTTTCCTTTTTCTTCCTCAACTTTCAGGACTCACGAGTCGCAGGGACACTTGACATTTAAGGGAAGAAAACGTTCCGTCAGAGCTTCATTGCTCGAAAGCATAATTGAAAGAGAAAGGTAAGTCCTATCGAAAAAGTTAATAAAGAAATTCTTCGAAACACGCTGTACTTAATTATGTCCAGTTTGATTTGCGTTCAACCTATAAAGCATGCAACCATATCAACACTGGAGAAGATGTATTTGCCTATGTAAAGAAATGAAGGCGCATTGCTACTCTCGGCCCCGCTCATATAAGAAATAATAGGCGGACTTTCAGATTCCCCCGTTCGTAACACCATGGCTCCATAAGACATCGAAGATAGATTGTTTGGGTCAGATTAGCACTTGTTCGAGACACGTTTGATAAAACTGCTATAATGAAGATGCGATATTTCGACGCGTAAAACTATGACAACGACAATAGAGGTTTAGAAATGTTCAATGTTTGCAGGGAAAATTAAAGCCTCAACTGAGCGCTGAAACATCTAGAACACATCAGTTGTACCCTGTCTTGACAAAAGCAGACGGCGAGTCTCAAAATCCTGAAACCTGGGCACCTTCCGTATCAAATCGCTCCAGAATTGACCGACCTACAAAACGATTGGACCCAATGGAGATGTTGCATGTGTGAGGAATTTGCGATTTGACTATTGTTTCGTATGTAAAAGTTCGCGAGAAATACGATGGTGCCACTGGTTTTCTCTGAAATCAACTCCCAAGCTCAAAAAAAAGCTCTCAAGTTGAGGCCAAAATGGAGGGGATATCCCACCCTACCCTGAGAGTCCACGTCTACGTCAAGACAAACTCTCCATGCAAAGCTGCCACTTTATTTGGGGACTCCAAAACTGAAAACACGGCAACCCTGCTAATGTATTTGCTCCCTATCTTTGCATGAGAGCTTTTTTTGAGCTTGAGAGTTGATTTCAGAGAAAACCAGTGGCACCATCGTGTTTCTCGCGAACTTTTACATAAGAAACAACAGTCAAATCGCAAATTCCTCACACATGCAACATCTCCATTACACGATATCAGTCAAGCTTTTGGTAACCGTGGGCTGTCACAACATAATTTTTCTCCGTGCTTGAGCGCGAAAAGACGGAAGAATTTCAACCGAGTATATTCATGTCAGTTGCTTTTGTTGGAGAGAATACAATGCGGCTCGAAAAAGCATTATTTCCCAAACCTTGACCGCAAAGTTGTCACCGTAGCGTGTAGTGTACGTATGAAATTCTGTTTGTAGGTACGTATCTACCACCTGAAATCTGGAACTTTATTCATGTGTGAACGTTTTGTATGTGTCCTTACGTGTGCCTTCTGACCGGTCGGGTATTAAAATAGCTAAACCCTCGCGGGCTGTGACCCGATATTCCACGGACTCAGTGCGACTTAATGCAAATTAAATGTTCGGTTATTTTATGTGGGTAGTGACGTGAACTAAAATAACGATCTCTCCTCTTCCTTTGCGAGACTGTGACATTTAAACAATTACAAAGTACACATATTCGGAGCGCTGACATTAAATTGGGTAGCTTGTAGATTTAAGACGGTATTTAAACCCTTCAAATAAAAAGGAATGAAAAAACTGGGGCACTTATACGAAATAACACTAGCAAAAACGCTGTGGAGCGATCTAAACAAAATGTAACACTGTTGATAACCACCAAAAGGATCCCACATACGACATTTTTACCCGTGAGATCTTCGTTTTCAGGTTGAAAAATGTTAACTTCACTCTTTCCTTCGAGTTATATGGCTTTATTGAAATGCATGGACCAGCGGCGCAACTTTAATTTTAAAATCTGGTTGAAGTTGAAGCAGAAGTTGGACGGTTAAATCACCTTTGATGTTGGGAAGTGGTGCGGTGAAAACATTAGTATCATCACTCGAAAATGTTTCACCCACAAAACAATTTAAACATTTTTGTATAGGTGAATATGAATATTAATTTTTTTTTTTTGCGTTCATGGATGAAAAATATCTGACTGATTTTGATTTACTAAAACTAAATAAACGGTTTTTTGTAAACTTTATTTGTAATTGATTAATTAATTTATATTTTCTTCTTTACCCAGAACAAATAAACATTTATATTTACCGAGGATTATTTTTCTCGGACTAGGTAGCTTTTTTGCTCTATAAACTGGACGAATAAATCGAAGTAAAACAAAAATTGTGTATTTTCCTCGAAGGATCCACTTAAAACGCTGAAGTCCCTCATTTTCCAGGAAAATATAAAGCTTCCTGGAATCAGAAAAAGCTGATGAGGTAGCATCACACAAACTTGCGATAAAGCGGTGAATTACGATGTGCTCATGCGGTCATCGCGGTGAAACTTTTCTTATCTGAGTGCAGTATCAACAGTGACCTCGCTCGAGGGATCTCCATTCTAGCGAATTTAATTTTCAAATTATTCTCCTTGTATGAAAAAAAAAACTCATCCAAGGCTAGACAAAGCTACTGTTCTTTGCAAATCCAAACTAACATACACCTCGTAGAATGTTGCTCATGTCCCAAATAAATCGTAGATTTCGGCCTCGTGCACGACACCACGACAAAATTACGCGCGACGTGTGTGAATGACAACATGGTGACTTTGACCATAAAAAGCTTAACTGCTCTCCACATTGACTACTCCTTTCTCCTGTTTTTATTTCTTTCTTTTTTTGCAGAAAACTATAATGTTTGGGAACTTTTTGGACGAAACTAACCTAGGCTTATATCAGGGCCGGATTTTCCTACTTGCCGCCCATGGGCCGCCTGTATTTTGCCGCCTCCTTCTCATTCGTTTTGAAACTCGATAAAAATCATCGAGTGAACGTGCCAGTGGGGGAGGGGTGCATAAGACGCGTTTACTCGTGTTGAACACATTTTTTGGGAAAGCCCTGTCAACACTACTAGCAAAAGGTCACGGAACTTGGCGCGAAAGTTAAGTTCCGTAAACGTAACTCTGTGTGGACAAGGCCTTCCATTTATACGAAATGAACGAAAAAATTATGGAAGAACAAACATAAATGTGGATCAATCATTTTAACTTCCGCCGCCGCGCCGAGCCGCGCCGACCGCACCGTGTTTGGCGCAATGCAAGAAGTATTCAGGCAGTCTTGTAGGCGCTATGCGTTTCACGCTGTTCGTACTGTGTTTGGCGCAATGCGTGAAGTATTCGTGCAGTCTTGTAGGCGCTCATATGTGTTACATGCCGATTGCCGCGCCGAGGGCTTCTCCTCTTCATCTCAAGTCTTCGTCATCATTTCTCCCTAAGTCGCGCCGTTCCAGGCTAAATTTTGTGATTGGTTTCTCTCTTAACTCGACTAATTAAACACTGTCACACACAAACCTTTTTCCCTGGACGGTTACATACACAATAGAGCCTGTTGGTGCCAAAGAACACTCCTTAGGGACCCGATATAAAACAATTTATTTGCACAATGTTCGTGTAGATTTCTATTTTTCTCTACCGCCAATTATGTCGAGCAACATTGTAAGGAGGGGATAAGTTATAGAGGTCGTTTCACAGAAGGGCCTATATATTTGGTGATTCAGTCAATTCCGCACTTAAATTAATTTTGTTCGGAACTTCGGAATTCTCTTTTGTAGCTTCCTAGAGCAGCGACCGATATTGGCGGAACCAAGTGACATTAGCAGGTGTCAAATCTCGTGGGAAACTATATTGTTCTTGGAAGGAAACAATTGTACAAATTCTCTCGACAACTCCGGATTATTTTTTATAGGGTATTAAGGAGATTCTCTCATAATTGCAAGAAAACTAGTGTAGCCACTCTCTTGTAAAAAAATAAATTGTGCGAAGAAATTTTGCAGCGCAAGAGATATCAATTGGTTCCCTTTTTAGACACTACCCAAAATTGAGACGATGACTGTTTCGCATGAATGACTTGCCGGCATGCCACACTGTCGCCATGTCGAAGCGATTGAAGTCAATAGTATAAGCTAAGCATTACATTACACGTTTTTAATTCAAAATTTCTCGTAGGCCGTGTTGAACGCATTGGCGCGTTTTTCCTGCTCAAGTAAATACATAAATAAATTAATGAATAAGGAGGTGTTGAAAAAGAAAGGAAGGAAGGAAGAAAGAAAGAAAATATCCACTTCACGAAAAATTGGAACGAGAAAAATTGCAGATACTTCTCCACCGTAAAGGTATTTTGAGGGTCGCCTTCAATTTTATTTTTCCGCCTGAGCGACAAACCTCCAGCGGAGCAAACATAGTTATCTATATACCCAAAAAGTACAAGTACACTCATTTTTAATGTTCATACACTCATGTTTCCGTTCGTTTCATGCTTTGATCGTGAACCAATTAAAGGCATGCGAATCTATTGATGAATATCATCATTACTACAAACATAGAAAATAAATACACTCGAATACCTAATACAACATAAATGCTACCTGACTTTTGAGTAGCACAAAGTGAGTAATTTGTCAGACGTGTTATGTTTGACCCCAAAATAGGTCAAATGATATCAAACTGCTTTCATCCACCCGTATGTTGTGGCAATTCACCGTGAAGTCCGACAAAAAGTGTATTTGACACGTACAACTATTTACTTTCCACGAATAAATTGCATAACTTTCCGATAAGACTATAGACTATCCTCCCAGATTGTGATGGTATGAGCTTTCTGTGTTTTATGATGAGGATAATTTGAAGTAAAAAATTTGAACAAAGCCTGAAGGAGCCTGACTGTGAGGCCTAAGATCTATAGAGGACTTTTTAAACTAACCCCCCCCCCCCCCCCCCCCGTGGTAGGTACCTTGTTGAAAATACATTTTAGAAAGGATTGCAGGTTCCGGCAGAAAACATACGACTTTTGATACTCTCTGAACAATTTGAGCTAGATTAAACTTTTATTTCTGTTTTTCTTTGCAATATTTCAGAAGGTGCTATAGATCTTTCGTCATATTGACACGGAACTCTTGTTTTCAATGCAAGGAATTAGTCAATTCTCGTAATGAGGATTGCAGTAATAAATTTTTAGATCATCAAAGAAGATAAATTCACATCAAACTCTCATAAAAACGATTAAGTATTACGTAAAATGGTCAAAATTAGCGTACTAATTTCATATAAAAACGCATATCTGGTTTTTTTATTATGATATGAAGCTATAGCCAAGCATTTATTGCGTGGACTTGGATACTGTTGATCCAATTTATCTTCTATTTTTGGCATAAGCCGATTTTGTGACCTGTAACTTTTTCTATCTCCAGTTTTTTGGCCGCTCCCGGCTATGGATCCGAGTCGTACGAGTGAAGTTGAATCTGAGTAGCTCTCTCATAAAATACCCATTACAGACCCCTCCTTAAATACTTTCCAACTTGTCTCCTACGTTTTGTGTGAGCATCATCAACGCAAATGAAAGACAATGAAAGGAGAGTGTTCTGGCATTTTTTAATGACAATTTATCAGAGGAAAATGAATACATGAACGGCAACTGATCAAATCTGGCAGGGCACATGGATTGAAACACCTAATGTTTCCACCTCAAAGTTTCACAAGAAAAACGGTTCACCGGTTTCCAAGTGAGATCATTCCTTGAGAGAGATGTTAGCAAGAGCTAATCTTGTTGACCACGTGGATTTGATGGAACAAACAAACGACATCACTTGTGTTTTATCATTTGATTAATGTCATTTGCAAGCATTTGCATCTTGATTAAAATTTTTTTAACCTCTCATTCATCAATTTTTTCCGCGTGAAATCCTACATTACTAAAAACGTTGGTTTTCTGAGACTGAGCTCGATTTTATGACCGATATACCTTTGGTTACATAAACTGAAAGCTTTGTTGTTCCATGTGAACCAAAATTAAGTCTTAGTAACCGCTGATATTTTTTTTCTTCTTCTTCTTCACGTGACTAATAATTACCTACCCGCATCGAAATACTTCGATAGTTCGAGGGACAACGTTATGTACTTTACTGGAACCTCTTTTGGTGTGTGTTTCATTCATTTTGATGTACGTTCGGTCTCATTGCTCCATGCTCAAAGATCATAAAAGGACGTATACATTTTTAATTTGTGCGAATTAGAGTTCGCGCGTACGCGCACATCAGTGGCGTGGCGGGAATTGCGATATATCGATTGTTATGCCATTGTTATGTTTGTTATGCCATTTAAACCTATGGAAAAGGATCGATAGACAGGGTGTTCGCAGCAAACACCTTAATAATCGATTATTTACCATAGGTTTAAATGTCATAACAATCGATACATCGCAATTCACGCCACGCCACTGGCGCACATGATCTGGTTAGAGTCCTACTCGCGCTTAGTTATAAGATGTATTGCATATAATTATGTCGGAAAACTACAAAATTTTTCGTTTGAAAGAGCCGGGAAAATTGTTTGTTCCACGTGAAGGTGAAAGTTCGGCTGTCCAATTCCATTTCCTACTCAAATTAGCAACAACGCGGTGCGTTTTGATTAAAAAGCAGCCAAGCGTAACCGTGCGCTACGTTGCACAAATCCGCGAAATGGTGCCAACGTTTTTTTTTTTCCGGAGGATGAGAGGAAGAGGGAAAACCAGTCTGCTTCCCCCTCCAAAAACAATGCGCCTAAAATTACACTTTCATAAGCCACAAGCTCATGAAGCGCCAATTAATGCACAACAGCCGACTTGATGATAACCTCACTTCGAATTCCGTTCGGTGAGGTTATATTTTCTGCCACTGTCGGCTTGTATTTTCCATGACTTTTGAACCGGGAGATGTTTCTTTCGCGGAATTCGGCACTGTCAAAAATCCTAGTGTGATGCAAAACTGTATCACGTAGTTAGGTGTTGGATAGCCTTGTGGGTGCGACTTCCCACCGCAATCACGATAATCTAGTGTTGCGCTGAAGCTTTCGAGAGAGTGAGGTAAAAATAATTCATTGCAATACAGAACTCCTTATTCTAAAGGAGCATGGGCGAAACTAGGGATTTTTTCNGGGGGGGGGGGGGGGGGGAGGCAGGACGACATCTCATCTAGGCTGTTGCGGCACATACATATGCCTTTCAGTGATTATCAA